TCCCAGGAGGTGCGTCCCCCCATGGTTTCTGATTGCTCATCCTTACCTCACCTTCAATCCACTGTCTTTGCTCCTTTGCTGATTGGACTGGGTTCTTCCCTTTATCCTATGGTCCCTGACCTAGAGCTGGCTTACTTGAGTGCTCCGTGTATTCTATACAGGCAGCCGCCATTCAGCATCCTCTCTAGCTCCTGCCATCTTGCTTAAGAAAAGACTAGAATTTTCCTTTGGTTCATTCATGTGTTCAGTGGATAATTTATTTTATTAAAATAATTTAAGATCTACTGTATTCAAGGCACAGTTGTAAGCCCTGGTGTTTATATCTAACTGGATAAAAATGGTCTCTAACCCTAAAATGCTAAGAGAAGAGCTGTACTGAAACCATTAAACCATAACTGACAAGTCCTATTCTATTGGAGTTGTGTGTACCACTTGCCCAGGGAGGATGATAGTTGATCTATCAGGGAAAGGCTTCGTGGAAGACAGGCATTCTACTTGGCCTCAAAAATAGAATAAAATTTTAATATTAGGAAAGAATGAAGAAAACCCTATACAAAGACTCAGAATGAATCAAGGCTCGGAGGAGTGGGCATGAAGAGCACAGGAGAAAGATGGAGTAAATCAGTCTTGCCAAGGGATGGAATTGGTGAGAGCTTGGAGCTCTGCCCTTGGGGCTCTTAAGGTCTTAAGGAAGGTGGGCAGAAATACCTAGATGAAGGCAAAGATGAAGAGTGGCAGCCTGGGGGCCAGAGATAGGCTCAATCTGGCCACGACACTGCTTTAAATATTTAGACTAATTTTGAAAACCAGAAGATTTCACATAAAAATCCAGATTTCTGGCTTCTCCTAAAATTTTGAAAGATGGGACAACAGTTGGCTGGAACAGAGGTGTGACTGCCTCCTTTAGTAGGACGTGAATTGTCTCCCCAACACAAAACCCCATCTGTGTCTGCCCTATACCCTATTTGCTGGACCCTGCAAGCATCCAAGTACAGGGCCCTTGCTCTGCTGGGAGTACGAGCCCAGGCTGATAAAATGTGGACACAAGGACCTCTCTTCCAACCCGCTGCCTCTCACACACATTGGTGCTCAGCGTACCGCAGGCCCTCACTATCAAACACAGCCTCTCTTCTGCAAACATCAGTATGCATGGCTTTCAAAATTATGAGACATGAAAGTACAGTCATCCCTCTGAAACTCTGGGGGTTGGTTTCAGGATTCTTAAACTTATATAATCTACAGTGCTAAAGTTCCTTATAGATAATGGTGTCTGCCCTATTTGCATACAACCTTCGTACATCCTCCCATAGACTTCAGATTATCTCTAGATGACTTGTAGATCCTCATAGAGTGCAAATGCTATATAAATAGTTATACTGTACTGTTAAGGCACTAAAGACAAGGGAAAGAGTCCACACATATTCAGTACGGATGGAATTTCTTTTTCATATATTTGTGATCCAAGGTTGGTTGACATCCGTGAGTGCAGAACTTCAGGATACAGAGGGCCAACTCTATTCAAAACGTTTCCAAAACCAGCTCACTCAGCCAGGATCTGAGGCTCAAAATGGCACGAAGCAAACACCATTAGAGTGCGGGTTGGAACAAGTTGAGGTTGTTTTCTTGTAAACAGATTAGGGAACTAACATAACCCCAGTCTCTGGTCTTTTGATGCTACCTTGCCAGGACCCAGCCTTGGAGATTTCTAAATGTTTACAGTCAATACGCACTACATTATACACATGTATGGAAATATCACATTCGGTATGTGCTATTAATATGAGTTATTGATCTTTTTTAAAAAAAGAGGAAAGAAAAAAATGCTTGCAGGGTCTTCTCTTCTCTGCTTCTTAATTCTTCTCAAAGTCTCTTTCTTGGAACTCTCCTGTTAGTTGAGAAGAATGGTCCTAACCTCTCACCAAGATTGGATTCCTCCTCGGGACAGAGACAGAAAACCCACATCTCAAAGTGTAAATCCTCTTCTCCGGGTAATCAGGGAAGCAATTGCAGTAGTGTTTGGTCCTAAGGCCACAGGGAACCTCACCATTTAGCCCCCTTTGAGGCAACACGAATGAATTAAAAGGTCAGTTTGTAATTCCTAAGGCTAAGCCCTTGTAACTATAAATAAATACGTAGCATAAAAGGAATGCAGGAAAGAAAAACACACAAGAGAAAAAGGAAATGAAAAACCTGACTTCATTTCAACGAGACAGGGAGCTTTAAAATGCTGGGTAGCGATTCCTACCTGAGCCCACAAATGCCCAGGCAAATTCTCCCAAACTCGAGGTTCCCTTAGCCAGAACTAGGTGTGCCTCTCAGGCTAAGGTTCAGTGGTTCTGGGAGGTGGAGGGAGAGTAGAAAGGTTTTTGTGTACTCCAGTCAAGCAGGAAGAAAAAGCCTTAATGAACCACAAAACTGGAGACTTTGTAAGGGACAGCTCCGTCAGCACTTTGCTCTGAGAAGAGAACACACAGTTGGCAAAAGAGGGACCCAAGCAATGGGTCCAGGCACAGATTGTCCAAAAGTAGACACTCAGCCCCTGGACCTTTCCAATGGTGCAACGCAAATCACTGAGTATCCTAGTCCTACGGGACCAGATGAGAAACACTGGTCCCATTTAGATGCCACTTATGGACCAGTGTGAATCGGGTTGGACCATCAGGACAGTGCTGTTCTGTTGGGGCTTCTCCCCGCTGTGGCTTTCACCATCTGTTTCTTTGAATGCATAAACAAGGAAAATGACTGGTTTGGAATGCGACGTTTTTAAAAACCAGATGACCACAGGCATCCTCTAAATGAGAAAGAGAGAGCAAGTTGGGGTTCTGTGACATTTGTCAGGAAGTGAAATGTTAAGTGCGGAAAAGCACAAACACCACGCTCTGCCAGGGAAGGTCCGCAAGGGCAAGGAACGGCTTTGTCCGTGACCCCTTCTGAGGGTCATGCCCTGTGTTCCTATTTCATGCCATTTTTGGACACCAGTGCCACTCCCTCCCTTTTATTAAACAAAGAATGAACGGTCCAGTTGGACTCCAACATAACCAGCCTTGATGGTCCATTAGCATTATTCCAAAATGGGCAGGCTGCATAGAATCCACTCTTAGAAACTTTCAGACTGAACAAAAGCTGCGCTGTGAGCAGGTTCTATTATTAAGCCCAAACGGGGATACAAATGGAGGAGCTAATGAGAAGACCAGGAGAAAATCTTCATTTCTCTCCTGGACAACAGTGAACACAATAGAGACGGGTAGATCGCTGGGTTCTATATCTATGCATAGACCCACAGTATGTTTTGCTTCAGTAAATGGCATTCTGCTTTCAAGGGGAAGCTTTGCCATCCGCAGTACAGTGGCCACTGTACAAAACGGTTCTGTTTGCTCCATGCCAAAAAACCTTAAAGCAATAGGTTCCTTTTTAAACCCAAGAAAGCAGAGAGGCTTCAGGGAAATGTTAACTGCATACTAATCTCTGATACCTTCATTGCAAGAAATAATCTGTGGTAAGCACCAGGGATTTTAAATAAAATTGAACTCTGGCATTTTTTAGTCCCTGGGGAGAAGGGCATTGGTGCATTTGGCTGAGTTCCACCCATTTCAGCCGAAGACAGACTTGGAGCATTTTTCACATAGTTTGTAGGCAGCCTGACGCCAGAGTTTTCACATTGGAGAAAGGAAAAAGAATAAGGGTTTCTTCGGGAACAACCAATTCTTCCTAATTTGCGATGTCTGTTCTCCAGGACATCGTGGGCAATACTTAAAGTGGACCCTGTTCATGATCCTGGGTGTGGGGGTTGTACAAAAACAAGACCCTGACCGTTTAGGAGCCCTGTGAGAATTAAATATATTTCAGGATAAATTAAGTTCCAATAACGCTTCTACCCACATTTATGATATCAAGGCAGTGTGTAATATAAAAATAGGAGCCCAGAATGGGAGATTCATGTTTTTGGCACTGGCTTCAGATGCCAGAGTTGTGATGAGTGTATTTGATTTCTGACATCCCTTAGACACAGAAACTGTTGGGGATGTTCACTTCCCTGGTGGAAATGAGAGAACGATCAGAGATCAGAGGTCATGACACCTGCACTCTGTTGGTGGCTCCCTGAGTCAGTACAGTCAGTCCTGTTTCCCAGGTTGTGCATCTGAGGATTTAACCAGCTGCAAATCAAAAATATTCAGGAAAAAAAAAAACCCTGCATCTGTACTGAACATGTACAGACTCTTGTCCTTATTCCCTAAACAATACAGTATAACAGCTGTTGACATAGCATTTGCATTGTACGAGATACTTTAAGTCATCTAGAGATGATGTACATAGGTCCTGTGCAAAAAAATTTACCATTTATATAAGGGACTTGAGCATCCATGGTTTTTCTATCTTCTCAAGGTCCTGAAACCGCTCCATTGTGGGTACTGAGGGACACTGTTTTCCTCTGTTTCATAAGTTAATTTTAAAAGCTCTAGAAGTTCTAAGGACTGCACTTTTGAGCTTTGGTTTTCTGGGCTCCTGACCCATGGAATTTTAGTTATAATCATAATAATAATGTCAGATGAAGAGGCATGCTGGGAAGGGTATGAGAGGAATTTTAAGTGGCCAAACTATTGACATTATTTACTTTATAAAAGTTTAGAGTCTTTAAAAATAAAATCTGTATGCTGTGCCTTGGGCCTTTCCAAAGGGATCGGGGAAGACTTTTATCAGAACTTGAACCTCCCTTCAGGTGTATACCTGGAATTGAGATTCTGTGACAAACATCAAGATGATTTTGTTACCATGAGGAAAGAAAAGAGTATTTCTGGGACCTGCTTCCTATTGGGGTCCAGGAGAGATCTGAAAGTTTCCTGACCCGGTGTCTTATGGTCTTTCCTTTTTCTCTTCCTCCTCTCTTCGCTGCCTCTCTTTTCTCCCTTTTCAAGGAGAGAGGAGGGCTGAGTGTCTGGCTGGGCGTTTAGGAGCTCTGCTGCAGTCGTGAATCTTACCCCTTGGCCTGTTTCTGCCCCCAGGTGATCACACCCGTGAGGACAGCCCATGGTTACGTGTACGAGGACCCACCCCGAAGCCACAAGGATGTCTACGATGTTCCTCCTTCCCACACCATGCAAGGGGTATGTGCCAAGAACGTGGTCACCAGGAAGGAGCAGTTCTCGGGGGTAGCATTCTTTAAGCAAAGAAAATTCACAAATTAGGTACATTTCATCTGAAAAGCTTTGTTTGGGTTGTCAATCTAGGAACCATCTTCTCCAGTGATTTTTTAAATTATATCTTCTGGATTTTCCTTCTGAGGAAATCCTGGTCTTTTTCCTGAGAAAGCTCATGTGGCCTTATCAGTTTATCACTTATCACTTTATTTCAGGAAGCATGAATTTTAAATCGTAATTTCAGGTTCAGAGAGTATAGGTATTACACTCAAGATCACGTGCGTATTCAATCCAAGTCAAAGGACACGACATTTCTAGAGGAAATGATATGGGATGCTACCCACAATCAAGCTGGTACATAGCCTGGAAATAAACCCATAATAAAACAGCAGCATAAAAAATGACCAGTACAAGACATTACCATTCTGGGTAACTCAAGTGTTTCCCTTTAGGTATATGACATCCCTCCCTCATCTGTGAAAGGCCCTGTGTTCTCAGTTCCGGTGGGAGAAATAAAACCTCAGGGGGTGTATGACATCCCCCCAACAAAAGGGGTGAGTGAGCTACAATACCATAGCCAGTAGGGTGTGTGTGCATGCATGTGTAAGTGTGTGTGTGTGTGTGTGTGTGTGTTAGTTCACTGGGATAAAACAAGAAAGGCAGACCCAAAAGGGGAAAAATCTAGTTTAGATAAGGGAAGAAGGAAGTAAAGAGGGCAGGTAGGCACGGCAATAACCAAAGTTAACTCTAGGGTTTCCAAATTTAGAAGCTCCCCTTAAAAATGGGGAAAACAATAAGGAGAGGCCATTGGAAGGGAAGAGGAGTGCGGGTTGGCAAGTTCTAACACATCTCATCTTCGTGGACTGTTTACCGCTTATGCCGTGCATGGGTAGGAGCTACCCTTTGGGGCGCACCTGTACGGAAGTACAGTTATCCCTGCTTCACAGAGAAGGGAACTGTGCCTCAGAACACCTGGGGGCTTACCAGCTTCACGCAGTTGTGTGATGACCAGGGGGACCAGGAAGAGACCCTCCCCGCCCAGTGTGTTAGTGCATCATCTGCCCCAGGACTGGGACCCAGGGGCACGCAGCTCAGCCAGGAGGGCTCCGCAGATGAGTCGGCACCAAGACCAGAGGAAAGATGTCCCTGTCAAAGGGTGAGGGAAGTGAGAACAGCAGCACTATGGGAAACACCCAGCTGGGAGTGGAGGGCGAGAGCAGAGCTGGCCAGCGGGGAGAGAATTCTGGGCTGTTTCCATGGCCCGTTCAGTTCCTTGATGCTCCCATGAGCCAAGCAAATAAGTCTTGCATTTTCCATACTTTACAGGTCTATGCCATTCCGCCCTCCGCTTGCCGAGACGAAGCTGGGCACAGGGAAAAAGAATATGATTTCCCCCCTCCAATGAAGCAAACCGGAAGGCCAGACATCAGACCCGAGGGGGTTTATGACATCCCCCCAAACAGCACCAAGCCAGTGGGGAAGGACCTTCACATGAAGTACGCCTGCGATGCTCCCGGAGCCGCAGAAGTCGTGGCGCGAAGGCACCAAAGCCTGTCCCTGCACCGATCGCCCCCGCAGCTGGGACAGGCAGTGGGCATTCAGAACGATGCATACGACATCCCCCGGGGAGTCCAGTTCCTGGAGCCACCAGCAGAAAACGGCGAGAAAACAAACCCCGAAGAAAGAGACGGTGTTTATGATGTCCCTCTGCACAGCGTGCCAGATGCCAAAGGCTCCCGGGATGTGGTCGACGGCATCAACCGGTTGTCCTTCTCCAGCACAGGCAGCACCCGGAGCAACATGTCCACCTCCTCCACCTCCTCCAAGGAGTCCTCCTTGTCCGCCTCCCCGTCTCAGGACAAAAGGCTCTTCCTGGATCCAGACACAGCCATCGAGAGACTCCACCGGCTCCAGCAGGCCCTGGAGATGGGAGTCTGCGGCCTAATGGCGCTGGTCACCACCGACTGGCGGTGCTACGGATACATGGAAAGACACATCAACGAGATACGCACCGCGGTGGACAAGGTGGAGCTGTTTTTGAGGGAGTACCTCCACTTTGCCAAGGGGGCGGTAGCCAATGCCTCCTACCTCCCGGAACTGGTCCTCCACAACAAGATGAAGCGGGAGCTCCAGAGAGTGGAAGACTCCCACCAGATTCTAAGTCAAACCAGCCATGACTTGAACGAGTGCAGCTGGTCCCTGAACATCCTGGCCATCAATAAGCCCCAAAACAAATGCGATGATCTGGACAGGTTTGTGATGGTGGCCAAGACGGTGCCCGACGATGCCAAGCAGCTGACCACCACCATCAACACCAATGCAGAGGCGCTCTTCAGACCAGGCCCCGGCAGTTCCCATCTGAAGAATGGACCTGACAACTTCATGAACTCAGTAGAGTATCCACACGCTGGCTCCCAGATGCAGCTGCTGCGACCTGGTGACTGCAAGGCCCAGGCCCTCAGCAAGCCCTTGCCCCCCACCCTGGGAAAGGACCAGCCTCCTGACTGTAGTAGCAGTGACAGCTCGGAACGGAGCTGGATGGATGATTATGACTATGTCCACCTGCAGGTAAGGAAACCAAACTCATTAACCACCTGCCTCCATGTTCAGGGAGCCTGGGCCGAAGGCCGGCAAGGCTGTTAGGCTGGGCTACCTGAGGTGCAGACATGATTCCACATTTACCCAAGTGCTTTGAAAGTTGGAGTGATGCTGTACAGCAGAAAGAACGCCAGAATAGGAGTCCTCAGACCTCCTGGCTCTAGATCTTTCTCTGACACTAATTGTGTGCCCAATTTATTTAACCTCCCTGGGCCTTTATACGGTTTGTAAAATGAATGACTTATAGGGCTGGATTAGATCTATTGATATGCCTCTCCAAATAGTACCACAGGTCTTCTGAAAATCATACCAACTCCATTTCTATTTGTATTTTTTGGTGCAGTGCCATAAATATTTATTTGGGGGGAAAAAGTATTCACTGTTAAAAAAACAAATGAAATCTCTATAAATAGAGAATTTCTATAGTCCTCTCTAGAATCTATGGTGTGTGTGTGTGTGTGTGTGAGAGAGAGAGAGAGAGAGGTTCGACAGTGTGTTTAATTACAGAGATGCTCAAACCCATCTCAGACTTACCTAGAAGATGAATGGGTATTCAAGGTTGTTTTGTTTATTGGTACTAAAGATTGAACCCAGGGGAATCTTACCACTGAGCTACATCCCCAGTCCTTTTTTTTTGAGACAGGGCCTCACTAAGTTGCTGAGGCTGGCCATGAACTTGCCATCCTCCTGCCTGAGCCTCTTGAGTCACTGGAATTACAGCCAAAATGGCATCTAGCTGCAACTGGGCATTTGAAATTGGCTCAGACTCCTTACTTGGCGTATGGAAAACTGTGCCATCACAGCATGGCTCCCACAGGAGGATATTCTACCAAGTTCCAAATTGCCCTGGGACCCTAACAGCTTGACCTTCCATTTTGAGGGATTAAAACACTCTACCAAAGTGATTAAAACACTCCACCATTTAGAATTTGGCTTACTATCTGAATTTTTAATATGACTGAGAAGCATGAATTACACTGAAAATTATTAAACTCCCCAAGAGAGTGGGGGAAGGTCAACAGAGCCACCTGGTGCTCAGGAAGGGCATAAGGAGAGGGGAGAGGGAGAAATTTAACATGCATCTCCCTGGTCATCCAACTCTGCACCTTGGTAATCTGGAGAGACATAAGTGATTCAAAAAAACTAGAAGTGAAACATGGACCCCATTGAGACCTGTGTTTGGAGATCTGGGGGTTCACATAAAATCTGTCAAAGAAGAACCAAGAGAAACAGTGCTTCTTAAGGAGGTTTGAAGTGGATTGTGGGAAGCTTCCTGAGAAGGATAAGATAGCAGAGAGCAATGCACCCCAGTTGGAAGCAGCTTTGGTTTTTCCACCTCACCCTCCACAGCGCTTCTAGGTCTCTGGCCAAGGAGCCTGCCACCCCCATCTGGGGTTCACAGGGCCTAATTGGGCGTGCAGGAAGTGGCCAGAGCAGTGGAAAATGAAAGAGTATGTATGCACTTGTCAACGAAGTCATTAGCATAAGTGAATCACAGCGATGAGGTAATGTGTTCTTTATGTTGGACAATAATAGGGTAAGGAGGAGTTTGAGCGGCAACAGAAGGAGCTGCTGGAGAAAGAGAATATCATCAAGCAGAACAAGATGCAGCTGGAGCACCATCAGGTCAGTTCAAGTCCAACAAAAACGCCTGGGAGGTGACAGGGTTTCCCGCCCAGCAGGGAAAGTACGACTTCCAAAGACTCGGGTTTGGATCCAGTCAGTATGCTGGCATCAATCAGCTCCAAAGCATAGAATAGGGCATAGGAACCGAGAGAAGGCAATGACCTTGCTATTACAGCTGGGCACACCTGGATTACATCCAAATGACAATTTTTAAGGCTAAATCTATTAATATATCACATACTTAGTGCTATTTGGGTTAAGGCTTTGAGTCTCAAGACACAAGACCCACTTAAGCTTGCCCAAGCAAGCAAATGGGGGGTTTTATATTGAGGCCATCATCTATAGTGAGAGAATTCAAGCCCAGAAATGAAGCAGCAGCCACGCTCAGTAAAAACTAGGACTGGGTAACCTCCTTTGAGTCTCTCTCTGTCTGCCTCATTCCCTCCTGTTTTCTGACATTTCCTCCACTGACCTGCCCAACCGGCCCCCTCTGCCTTGACAGAACCTACAAATGGCCACTCAAATTCCTTTCTATAGATGGCATTTGATCTCCGCCTTCTCAGAGGGTGGCAGCTTTCTTCTGTGGTTCATCCAATGCCTGGGAAAGTCCGAATCTCATACTGTCTTTCTCCCCCTCTCCCATCTCTACTTGTCCCCTGCCATCAGCACAACCCTACATCTTGTCCACCCATGGTCCCACCTAAGAGTAAGAGAGTAGGAAGGACCCACTGTGTTCAAAATATATCCAAACCATTCTACCTAGGACTTTGGGCAGGGCGTGTTCATTCAAAAGTTAAACCAGATAATGATGGATAAGGACATTTTTAAAAAAGCGAAATGGATTGAAGATTTATAAGCCTCTTTAGGGGAGGTGATCTGCAATGGCATGCAGTCTTTGGGAAACCTAGGTTGCTTTCTGATCAACTGACTGTGCCACCTTAGGCAAGTCATATAACTCCCTGAATTTCAATTAGTTCTCTAAAACTCAGAAATGTAACCCCCCATATAAATGAGAGAACACGTTGATGAACATGCTTGCAAAAGCCTAAGCTGTGTAAAATATAATTCATCATTATTAAAAGCCTTAGCTCATCACCCTGTATCTGTTTACGTTTGCAGTGGCATTTGACCAAGTAAGACGGCAGGGGTTTAGGGAATTTGCTGAAACCATAGTAATTCCTGAGAAGCAAGCAGATTCCATAGACAAGCTAGATGTGCATTTCTTGGGGGAGAAGCCGGGTGAGGTTATCACTGCTCTGACTCAGTCCTACCCCAGGAGGAGAGTTTAACCAAGTCCTAAAAGTAAGGTCATAAATAGTCCTCACCTACAAAAGAAAGATGTCTTTGGAGTCTTGGAAGACTAGCTAGAAAGTATTTCAATTGCAATTTAAATAATACACCAGTTGGGGAAAATGAGGAGAAAAATAAGAAAGCTAACACCATTCTGTTCAAGGCCCTTTTAACAGCTCAGGGGGCTGTTACCACCAGGATGCACAGCCAGCTAGCATTCAAGTGTCCTCAGCCGTGATCTTCTCTCTCAGTGCATGGACATTTATCTGCATTAGTGTCTCTAGTGCTGGATTGTAATATAACTATACGTCTTGACAGAAAGAGTAGGAGAAGCAGACAAGAATCATGAATTGTCATTCTGCCTAAGCTGCTCTCAGAGACAGTCAAGGCTTTCCCCAAGGGGCAAACTGTTGGTGACTTAAGTGACAAAAAGATCACTATGTTTGGTTTTCCCTTGCCACCGCTCAACATGTAATAAATGTTTACCCAGGTCCCATGATCCACCAGGCGCTCTTCTGAGCCCTTTATAAATATTAGTTCACCTGACCTTCCCAAAGGTACAGGGGACAAGGCTGGGGTTTACACCCTAAGCTGCCTTCCAGCCAGAAGGCAGAGGGGACTGGTGGTTTGAGCAGGAGGCGTCCTTGGGGATCACCTTTCCCCAGAGCTACATGGCCTAGCTGGGGAAGCAAGGCAACTTACAGGGCCTCACAGCCAATAGGCATCTGACGCCCACCAAGGATTAAACCCCATCTCTTATTTCCACCCAGGGGTCATTTCCATTACAATGTGTTCCCCTGAATGAAACCTGCTTTTGTCTTCTTTCCAGCTGAGTCAGTTCCAGCTGTTGGAACAAGAAATCACCAAGCCAGTGGAGAACGACATGTCCAAGTGGAAGCCCTCTCAGAGCCTCCCGACCGCAAACAGCGGTGCGGGGGCCCAGGATCGGCAGTTGCTTTGCTTCTACTATGACCAGTGTGAGACCCATTTCATCTCCCTCCTCAATGCCATCGACGCACTCTTCAGCTGTGTCAGCTCGGCCCAGCCACCGCGGATCTTCGTGGCACACAGCAAGTTTGTCATCCTCAGTGCACACAAACTGGTGTTCATCGGAGACACGCTGACAAGGCAGGTGTCTGCCCAGGACATCCGTAACAAAGTCATGAACTCCAGCAACCAGCTCTGTGAACAGCTCAAGACAATAGTGATGGCCACCAAGATGGCGGCCCTGCATTATCCCAGCACCACCGCCCTGCAGGAGATGGTCCACCAGGTCACGGACCTGTCCAGAAACGCCCAGCTGTTCAAACGCTCTTTGCTGGAGATGGCGACTTTCTGAGAGGACAGGGGAGGAGGAGGGAACTGAATGAACTGTTACCAAGGGAAACTGGAAATACTATCTGGGTTTTGTAAATAGGATCTATTTTTGTATATATTTTATATGGAAATGAAATATTTTAACATTTTTTGAGTTAGACAACCTTCAGAAATTCAGGGAGCTGGACAGGAAAAATTTTCTTCCCTGTGGGGTTCTTATGTATGCATATAAGTATCTAGGACATAAGCTGTACAGAAACTTGTCCGGTCCTTTGCATTCATGTTTGTTTTGTAGGTGTTTGTCTGATACATTCCATTTAAAAAAAAAACACAAAAAACATGAATTAAGAAGCACCTTAGTCAGCACCTCCTAATGCTGCATTTTGGGTTTTGTTTTGTTTTTTCAAAAATGTATTAGCTGGTTGTAATATTGTTCTGCACGTACTAGTGATGATTCTGAGCCTGGCACACCCAAAGCTAGTATATTTGCAAGTGTGCATCTCCCACACACCCTCTCATAAGGCATGGTATGTTGTATTCTTGTTTTGAAACCTCTTTCAAAATTCACTGCCTGGAACATATTAGGGCAAAATACCCAATTCCAGTTGAAAAAGCCCTCTTGGAGATCAAGTTTCAGAAATATATGCTAATCTTAGCTTTGAGATTTCAGGTGCTGGAGAGAGGAGAGACCTGTGTACTCTATGAGGAGGCCAGGTCCATAGCTGGGCCTGGTTGTTTCAACACTGAGAGGAAGCTACAGTCAAAGGATAACTCTTGTTTCCCCGGGGCTGTTGGATCTTCTACATTTGTGAGTGATTCAGCCATGAGGTTTTCCAAAGAATGTTTTTAGAGTTATAAAAAAAAAATTTTTAAAAAGCAAAACATTATTTGAAGCAGGGATCCATGAAGTCATATCAGACTATGATAGTCCACAAAAAGAAGGGATGGTTTCATCAAGTAGAGGCCTTTCCAACACTTCACATTCTCTTGGGCACTTCTGCTCCAATTACTTGAGGGAAACTGGCCAGTTCCTTGGTCATTGCCCCTTAGAGCCACCAGGCTATATTCTTCATCTCACGCCCTTCTTAAAACTCACATGGTACAGACCCAACATTTCCAGTAGCTATAGACAGTGCATCCAACCTTCACAACTCTGTGTGGCTGATGACCTTGTATATTCACCCCACAACCAACTCAGCTAGTCACAGACAGCATCTATGCCTTAGTCTGTCCTCACACATGCTGGTGTAGACCCAGCCCAGTCACCACAGCCATCAGATGCATCCCTGGTGAGGGGGATGCACCCTACCTGGTGGGTAAATGTATCCAAGCATTGCCCACTTGAGAAGCATGTTTTTTAGTCTTTTTGGTCCGTAGAAATAATTGGATTCTGGCCTATTTGGAAACGTATTTTCTTTTGCAATATATTCCTTGACCAAATTAAGCTTGCTTGTTTTGAACAACCAAATCATTGGAACAGGAAATGATTTATGAGGAACACAGGATTTTAGCGTGATGAAGAATCAGTGGAAATAAACATGGAAGGTGCTTTTCAAAACAATTGCTGTTGTGATCATCAATGCTCTGCACTGCCTACGGAAGATTAAAAGTGGTGTTGTTGTGTGACAAGGAGATGTGGGGAAGAAGGGGGTTGCTGAACATGAATAACACTTGAAGAAATTAAGTGTGTCCTCGTCGATTTCATTGTATGGTGTGTATTTCTTAGCAGATGACAGACTGGTTCTAAGCAAAGTGGTGACATTTCACGTTTTCAAAACCAAAACGTTCAATCTGTATTACTCTTTGCCATTTTGTATGTAGAGCTATTTTTAAATCATTAAATTTTTAGATCTCTATTTTCATAGCCATTGGGTTTTCTTTCCCATAGTTTCTCTCTCTGTCATGGAATTAAATATTGACTGATTTGGGCCCTCCTAATTCAGAAAGTTTAATTATGATCAGTTTATCAGTTCTATCAATCTGTATTTTTTTTGGAAAATTAAAGAGTCTATGTGTGTGAGAGAGGGAGAGAGAGAAAGAGAGATCACTTCAGAGTACATTTGCATTTGAAGAAAATTCTGGAGCCTGTGCACATTACCAAGTTCAAATATCTGAAAAGAGGGCTTCCCTTCACCAGAAAGCCTATGCATCCAAGATAGGTTGGAGGACCTCTGTTTTTGTGATATGGAGTAGACACAAAGAAATAAAAGCAAACCATATTTGAATTTTTAAAAGATTGATATCACAAAATTTACGTTTACTGTCTGACCCACTCTTTTATTCAGGTATCTCACAGAGATTTATTGAAAAGCATTTGCATATACCTTGTATAATTTTGTGCATGCATATAAGCATTAATTGATTTTTGACAAACATGTCAAGTCATTTCAATGAGGGAATGAAATGTCTTTTGGGGGAAAAATATGGTGCTAAACAACTAGATCTCTCAATGGGGAAAAAAATGAATATTTACCTTTCATTCTACACAAAAATTAACTCAAATGGATCATAGGCCCAAATGTAAAACTAAAAATTCTAAAACTTCTAGAAGAAAACATAGGAGAAAATCTTCTTGATCATAAGCAGACAAAAGTTTAATAAGTAGAACAACAAAAAAAATCTAATTCATAAATGAACTGATAAATTGGACTTCATTAAGATTAAAAATGTTTGCTCTTGTAAGTAGATCATTAAGAAAACAAAACTCAAGCCACAGAGCAGGAGAGAATATATTGTACTGGCCAAGGACTTGTATCAGAATAAGACAAAGAACTAAAGTTTTGTAACTAGGCAACAATTTTGAGCAGAAACTTCATAAATGAAGACATGTAAGTGGATAATAAGTAAATGAAATAAAAACCCACACCAAATAGACTTACTTAAAATAAAAGCCATACCAAATGTTGGGGAGAAAGAGAAGCGAAAGTGGCTTTCATACACTGTTGGCGTATTGGTCAGATTTTTCACCACTGTGACGTAAAGACCTGACAAGAACAATTTTAGAGGAGGAAAAGTTTATTTTGACTTACGGTTTCAGAGGTCTCAGTCCATAGAGAGCCAACTCCACTGCTCTGGGCCCCCCTGAGGCAGAACATCGTGGATGAAGTATATGGATAAGAGAAGTTCAGATATGGCAATCGGGAAGCAGAGAGAGTTCTGCTCACTGGAAACAAAATTTAAACCCCAAAGACTCACCTACAGACCCACCTCCTCCCACCACTCCCCACCTGCCTGCGGTTTCAGCCCAGTTAATCTGTATCAGGGAATTAATGCACTGATTAGGCTAAAGCTCTCACAAGCTAATCATTTCACCACTAAATTTTCATGCAGTGACTCACACATGAGATTTTTGGGGACACTATGCATCTAAATCATAGAAATGGTACAAATGCCTTGGAAAACAGATCGGCATTTCCTAAAAAGCTAAATATGTGCCTTCTATATGACCTAGCAGTTTCTTTCCTGGGTATTTATTTACTCAAGAGAAATAAAAGCATATATCCATACAAAGATTTAAGAGCATTTATCACTGTTTTATTTTAATAGTAAAAGCTAGGAACAACCCAGATGTCCATCTTTGTGAAGGAATAAAACCGTTGCTACGTATCCCCACAATGAGGTACTACCCAGAAATAAAAAGGAAAATAATTGAAACAAACAAACAAACAAAACCCAAATATGAATGAATTTCCAAATCGTTATAAGAAAAAGAAGCCAGACAAAGAAAGAGTACATATGGTATGTTTTTACTGACACAAAGTATTAGAAAACGCAGACTGATTTATAGTGACCCAAAGCACATCAGTAGTTCCCTGGGGAGAGGAGTGGTGAAGAACTAGGTTCCTCAGGAGCCCCGGGAAATGCCATCTTCTTGATGGTGGTGAGGGTTTCACAGGTATGTGTATGTTCAAACTCATCAACGTGTATACTTTAAATATATATGGTTTGTTTTTCATCAATTAGCACTTTAAAAAGTAAGTGGCCTAGATACTCAGATTGGACTTTAAAAACCAAAAGTAAACTATAAGTAGGTTGAAAGGCACCCAATTCAAATGAAAACACACAGATAGATTAAAAGCAAAGGGATAGAAAAGTGTACAACACACATTCTAATAGTATTTTTAAGATATTATTAGCAAAACAAGAACAAGGCCTAACAGGCACTTTTCATGTTAAAGGGATCAATTCATAAAGAAAACAAAACACGCTTCAGTGTGTGTTTTAGTTAGCTTTTCCATCACTGTGACCAAAACACCTGACAAGAACAACATAAAGGAAGAATCGTTTATTTGGGGTCACTGTTTCGGAGGTCTCGGTTCATAGACAGCAGACTCTACTGCTCTGGGCCACGTAAGGCCATCATGGCGGAAGGGCCCAGTGGAGGACAGCTGCTCGGCTCATGGTGGGGTCAGGAAATAGAGAGGGGAATGGGGGAAGGGAAGATGCATCCTTCCAGGGCACACTCCCAGTGACCCACCTCTTTCAGCCACACCCCAACTGTCTACAGTTACCTCCCAGTCAGTCCATTCAAACCAGGGTGGACTGATTTAGGTTACAGCTCTCATGATCCAATCCTTTCACCCCTAAACATTCCTGCACAAACAGGAGCTTTGGGAGACACCTCATATCCAGGCTATAACCGTGTGTGTGACCCCAGTGACAAAGGCTCAAAATACATGAAGCAACAACTAATACAACTGAAAGGAAAAAACAGAAAATATATAATGATAGGTGGAGATTGAACACCCATCTCTCAGTAATTAATAGGATAAGTAAAAAAATAAAAATAAAAATCCGTATTAACAAGTAAGAATGGGACTGTCCTACATTGCTGGAGGGAATATAAAATGGTACAATTATTTCAGCAAACAGTTTGATGATCTTTTTTTAAAAGATTTTTAAAATTTATTTATTTTTATTTGTTCTTTTTAGTTATATATGATAATTGAATGTATTTTGATATATCATACCTACATGGAGTATAACTTTCCATTCTTGTGATTATACAGGATATGGAGTTACGCTGGTCATGAATTCGTACATGAACATTATGTCCGATTCATTCTACTGTCCTTCCTATTCCCAAATCCCTGACCTTCCCCCACTTCCCATGTCCAAACCAGTAAACCTCTACTACCACACCCTGTCCCCCCACCCTGTCTATTATGATCCAGCATCTGCATAGCAGAGAGAATATTCAGCCTTTGGTTTGGGGGAATTGGCTTATTTCACTTAGCATGATAGTCTCTAGTTCCATCCATTTACAGCAAATGCATAATTTCATTTTTCTTTACGTCTGAGTAATATTCCATTGAGTATATGCACATTTTCTTTATCTGTTCATTCATCTCTTGAAGGGCACCTAGGTTGATTCCATAGCTTAGCAGCTGTGAAGTTGGATGATCTTTAAAAAGTCAAACATATATTTTCCATACAACTTAGTAGTTCCAATCATAGACATTCACCCAAGAAAAATGAAAACATGTGCACAACAAATCTTCTGCTTTATTCGTACACATACCAAAGTAAAAACAGCCCAAATGTCATCAAGATATCACTGGGTGAATAAGTGGTGGCATATCCATAAAATGGAATACTATTCAGCAATAGGAAGGAGTGACTTAATTATGCAGGTAAGAGCAGAAATCGATTAACCTCCATAACCATGCTGAGCAAAGTAGGCAAATGGAGTTCTATGAAACACAAACCTAATTTGTGTATACAGAGTTCAGATCTGTGATTTCTAGAGACCAGTGTATGGGGTTGAGGATGGCCTAGGAAAGAACACAAAGGAACTCTTTTGTATGATGGACATGTTTAATATCCGCATTGTCCAACATTGCAGAACCTTCACAATAATGGCAGTGTCTTGTAATTTACACATTCCAGTATGGTAAGCAATAGTCACACCATCAAATAGTCACACAATTCAAATGCTACCGAACATTTGAAATGTGGCTAGTATAACTGAGGAAGTGTATTTAAATTTTAATTAGCTTTAGTTCATTTGAATTTAAATAGTCATGTGTAGTTTGTTAGTGGCTACCAAATTGGACAGCACAGTGTCCATATCTTGATTGTTATGGTAATTATGTAAATGCATAAGTTTGTCAAAACTTACCAAAATACATGCTTAAAGGAGGTATATTTTATTTTTTTGGTACCAGGGATTCAACCCAGAGGTGTTTAACCAGTGAGCCACACCCTAAGCCCTTTTTTATTTTGAGACAGCCCTTTTTTTGTATTTTATTTAGAGACAGAGTCTCCCTAAGTTGCTTAGGGCCTGGCTAAGTTGCTGAGACTGGCTTTGAACTTGTGATCCTCGTGCCTTAGCCTCCCAAGCTACTGGGATTTCAGGTGTGCACCACTGCACCTGGCAAAAGAGGTATATTTCCTTGTATTTAAGCCTCCTTTAAATAAAGCTTATTTTTAAAAGAGGTAAAGTATTTACCAATTTACTTTAATATTCCAGAGTTTTTAAGTCAATATTATCGTCAATTCACAGGAACATTGCAAATCCCACAGGAAAAGATCCCATTGGAAAGTTCTGCGTTCTGAGTCCGTAATAGGCTCTGGCCTTAGAGGTAATACTGAGGTAGTTCATGACCCACCACGAAGACCAACGGGTTTTCCTAAATCCCCCATGAGTAAAAGTCAATCGGGGGAGGGGGTGATTGTCACCTCATTAACTACATCTATATTCTTCATATTTTTGAGGAATAATGACAAAAGAAATATTGTCCTTCACCAGAGAACATAAAACACAGCAAGGATTCATTGATCCCTTGGACGCTTCCTGCCTGGCCGGCTACAGCAGGCAGATCCTCCCCATCGATGAGGCACCAACTGTCGCAGC